ACTTTGGTCAACTGTAGCTGGTTTCTTGATTGAAAAAGTTGTGTGGGCTTTAGGGTTTCTGAAGCCAAATTAATCATGGATGGGGTTGGAGGTGATGCTCCCTCGACAGCAGCTGCAGCACTAAACCAACGGAGGCACGAACTATCAAAACTTTTCCAGTACTATTTAGATAAATCAACTCCTCACTCTCTTTATCGATGGATTGGGACTTTTGTTTTAGTGTGCGTTTATGCTCTGAGAGTTTACTACCTTCAAGGGTTCTACATTGTGACGTATGGTTTGGGAATCTACATTCTTAATCTGCTAATTGGGTTCTTGTCACCTCTTGTTGACCCTGAGCTGGAACCTTCAGATGGTCCTATGCTGCCGACAAAAGGCTCTGATGAATTCAAGCCTTTCATCCGCCGCCTTCCTGAGTTCAAATTCTGGTACTTGTATTTATTCTTTGGGTGATCATTGTGTCCATATTTTGAAATCCATTGTCCTCTGGAAGTTGATAAACTGTAATTTAAATCATTGTTTCTTTCTTTAATCCAAATGCATCTCTACGTACACATTTGATTTCTGGTCTATTAGGGAGGTCTTGCCTAGTATGTATTTTTGTAGGTGACTCAGAATAGCACTTGTGTGATTCCATAAGGTACTGAAAACAGCATTTTGACATCTGAATGTGGTGAATGGATATTATATAACTTGTTGTTAGGCTTTCAAATTACATATTAGTGATGGAACATAAGTATCCTCTATGAGAGTATGAGTTACTATTGTGGACAATTTACTGTAGTTTGTTTTGGTATAATATTTTGTTGAGTTTACTCTACCAATGAATTTGGTTAGCTGACACTCATTATTAGATTTTCGTGTTAGTAGCTTGAGCTAGAAATGTATTCTTTTGTACCTTGAATCAGTAACACAACTCCATAGGTGAGTAAAATGCTGATGGCGTTTTCAGTTCATCCTAGGCTATGTTTGTCTACATATTTCAAGTATATTTGTGTATTTGTTGTTTGGGTTGCCACATACTGCATTCAGTTTAACCTATCATATCCAGGTGACTCAATCATATAGTTGTCCTAAGTTTTTGTTTCTGAATACTAAAATGAGATGGGAAAAGGAGTGTTTTGGCTTTTGAGGAAATACACATTTCATGAAGAAACTGGATAGGTTTGATCTTTTGATACTTTACTGAAGTCTTCGTATTTGCGTGCACTGAAAATTCTGTAATATACTCTTTTCTGGACTAAGATTTAATGTGGATGATTTTCTCTGATTATTGTGGTTGCAGGTATGCCATCACAAAGGCTTTCTGTGTAGCATTCGTGATGACCTTCTTTTCCATGTTCGATGTCCCAGTTTTTTGGCCGATATTATTGTGCTACTGGTTTGTCCTTTTCGTGCTAACGATGAAACGTCAAATAATGCATATGATCAAGTACCGATACATACCATTTAACATTGGTAAACAGGTGATTACATTGATCACATATCCTGTAATTATTTTTCTAGTTTAGTGTTGAAAATTGAAATACAACACCGATATATTTTCACTCTTGAGTTGACTATGATAACTACCATAGAGGCAAACACCTAATGGGTATTTGTAATTTGTACAATAAAGAAAAACATCCAATGGGTTTTGGAGTATTGATGATTATTTTTTTTTTTTTTTTNGTTAATTTGACTAAATATTAACACTATCTTATATGTCATTAATTTAATTAATATTCTATTTGTAATATATGGTACTGCTGTGTACTGAGCTGATCACTTTTCGAGTTGCTTGTCCTTGTGTTATTGATAACAGTGGCATTTGTGTCTAAACAGACTTACAAAGGAAAAAAGCCTGCAGCTAGTGGAAGCAGCCCTCGAGCAGACTAAAGTTCAATCAACCTATAAGGGTCTCCTAATCAGAAGAGATGGAATAGAGAAACAACATGAGATGGAGAATGCCATGGGGAATTTAAGTTTGTTAGTTCTATATTTTACATTTATAAAATGACATACGACTTGTTGGAGAGTTATCAGCGAACTCCTCAGTTGCACTTTTATTCCAGTATGTTGGGAGAAACTGTTTATGATGCAGGAAAGAAAAGTTAATTTTGTTTTAGATGAACTGCATAATTATTGATTATTGTGTAACGTGACACTCAAAATTTATTTGGTTATTCTTGAAAATGCTGCCTCGTAATCTTTTGTTATGCATGTATAAATAAGATTTAGATCAAATAAAAATCTAATGTTTAATGTAGGAAATAGAATTTATCTCTCTTCATATATATATATTTGAAGCAGTTTGAAACATCAAGAGTGTCGAGTTGTCCTCACGTGCGATTACTCAATTGCCCTTNTCAAAAGTGGAAGTACACACGAGAAATCAAATGGTTACCACGTTCCCACCTAAGCACACACCTATATAGGTGGTACAGTCTGGGCCCTCTCGACTAACTGAGAATAAAACACCACACCTCACTTTATCTAACATAAAGTTATATTTAAAATCAGCAGAAATGAATAGCAAAATATCATCTAGTACAATAGAGGTGTAACAATCAAAGGGGTCTCTTCTCTGCAGCAAATCTAGAAGGCTTTTGTCTTCAATCTTGCAGTTCACTTCCATCCACTCCATTTCTTTCACTCTAAGTAATCTCCATCTAACTGCTACCAACCCTGCCTCTTTCTTGTTGCCTTCAAAGTCTAGAGTCTGTGACCACTGTTGCACTAGGTTTTCTCCCTCTGCAGCAACTCCTTCAAGACTCAATATGTCACTAGTAGAACTTGAGGCACTGACAGAAATAGACTTCTGTCCTTCTTCTCTGTAAAAATGCTCTTCCCGACCAGATCTTTGTCCTTCCTCACTCCTGCCATCTACACCATCTCCAAAGTTAGCCATCCAGTATTTTATCGTCTCCTCCTTTGCACCATCTTCAGTTCTCCTCTCTCCACTCTTTCCCAAACTTCCAGAGCCACCGGATCAAACAGATAGACAAGCATACTCTTTTCTCCATGAAGATGGTTTGAGCATATTTACTTACCTCCACCAACCAGTCTTGGAATTTGCATTCCATGTTCTGCAATATGTTCCAGCTCACCCCAAGCAATTGCCAGCAAGTAGAGGCTCTTGTGCACCTGAAGAAAATATGATCCTGGTCCTTTACTTCTTCACCACACACGTCACAAATCAGATCCACTATCATTCCCTTTTTATTTTTTATTTTTTTTCCAACTGGACATTGGTGCTTAGGAACTTGTTCCAGCCTTATGAAGGTTTTTAATTTGTGTTTGATGGGCAAAAATCTATGGAGCCATAGGATGGTTTTCTTATGGAGTCATCCACCACTTAATGTATTGACACCTGTCCAAATTATATTTATTGTAGGACACGTGTCAAAACACTATTGGTGAATAAGTGTTGATGGCTCCATAAGTCGAGCCATCCGATGGCTCCATAGCAAAACTGGTTTGATGGGTAACTTCCAAGTTGTTTTTGTTTAGAGCCTTGTCATCTTCTCACCTGAAGTACTTGGGTTGTCTGTAGTCTTGCTTTCTGCCTCAAGAGTAATTGATAAGTTGATCTCACAGTAAATTTTCCACTCTTTTCTCAATACCAAACTAGTCTATCTCTCAGCCCAGTGTAACTTAAAGGCATACTAACTATAGTTGTGGCATCAGAGGGATTGAATGTCTAGAACACCATCTCTCTATCCCACTCTTTTCCCTACTCACACAGTAACTCTCTCACCCAATTAACTCTAGTCATGTCACTAGGGAAATTGCAAAAGGGTATGAACAACAGATTCCCAGGGACCCAATGTGTCCCAAACTTTAATAGAATGACCATTACCATTTGGTACCTCGCCCCTAAATCAAGTTGCCTCTAACAATTAACCACCTTCTCCACAACCATGAGTCTCCACTCCTAGCCCTCACCTCACTCAACCTCTCCTTACTAAAGTATCTCCCTTTGATTACTCTACTCATAAGCAAATTGGGTTTGATAAGCACCCTCCAGAGCTGCTTCATGAGTAAAGCCTCAGTGAAGGTTCTGAGATCCTTAAAACCTAGTCCTCCCTCACCTTTTAGGCCTAGATAATTTTTCCCCAGCAACCCAATGAATCTTATTGTGCCCCTTATCATTTTTCTCCCACCAAAACCTAGCAGCTTCCTGACAAATATAGAACAAATTGAAACTAGAACTTTGAAACAAGACATCACATAGGTTGGAATTGCACTAATCACAGTTTTAATAAGTAAATCTTTCCCTGCCTCACTCACAAAAGTGTTTTTCCAATTTGTCACTCTTTTTTTAATAGTCTCACTTAGGAACTTGAATGTTTCTCTTTTTTATCTTCCAAATCCTAGAGGTAGCCCTAGGTATTTAGAAGATGAGACCCATTCAATCCTATTCAAAGTTTATCTCACCACATCCCTAACTCTCTCAGGAGTGTTCTTGAGAAGAACAGATATGATTTAACTAGGTTTACAACTTGCCCAGAATCAACTTCATATTTTTTTCAGAATTTTAAGAATAGTTTGGGCACGAGTTGCATTTGCTTTACAGAAGATGATTGAGTCATCAGCAAAGAAAATTTGAGAAATAGAAGGAGCATTTTTGCCAATCTTCATTCATGAAATTCTTTATTCATCTTAGCCCTATTGATTTGGTTGGAAAGGGCTTCTAACAGGATTAAAAACAAGTAGAGTGGCAGAGGATCACCCTGTGTAATTCAAGTGTGTTCTTGCACACATGATGAATTGATGAATTGAAGATTCTGAAGATCTTGAAACATTGATAGGGATCTAGCTTAGAAGGAAACTGAATCCATTTGTAAGGTTGTTGAAGACATGGAAACTTGAATTTGCCTTACATAATTGGAAGCTGTTTATATTACATAACAAAGACTCAAATATGAGCTATTGCGATTACGATTTCTATTGAGTTTATTGTTGATGCATTCTCTGAGAATTCGTGAGATCTTTTTTATATTCCATAGATTTTTTTATTCAGGAATTTAGTTTTTCGTTCTTGAATCTGAACGTTTTCATCTTCATACTCTTGGGTATTTAAGGATAACCATCATCACTAGCTTTGAGGGATTAAATATAGTTTTTCTTGGGTATTTAAGGATAACCATCATCACTAGCTTTGAGGGATTAAATATAGTTTTTAGTTCAAGTTGTGATTAGGGAAGTAATTAATAGTTTCAAGTATAGTTGGTAGGTTTAGGAGGAGTCATATCTGTGTAATTCCAAACTATACATCATGTGTGCAACCAATTTACTAATAAAAGAGCTTTAAGGTAGTGGGACGCTACTCGAAGATAAATTTGTTTACTGTTGCTTCCGCTTTTAATGTCCGTATTCTTATATGTTATGTAAGGTTGTTGTTAGACAAGTCTAATGACACTTTTTCAACAGATATACATACTTTCAAACTGAAATGCGGTACTCGGTACTCTGGAAAATAATATAAATAAAAGTATGACACTATCATATCCGATTTTATTAAAAAAAATATATATGTCGGATCGACCTCATTAAAGATATGCTACCTAACACAAGAATTTCCTTTTTTTTTTTCCCTTACCAAAATTCAAAGAAACAGAGATTTTGCAAACTTTACAACATATTTACTAGGGACTTCCTCGTGCACATACATTTTAGCACATTCTCACAATTTGAATTCAAGTATTTTTTCCAATTTCTGTGGCTGGTATGGAATGGCACTAACAACTTTCACACCTTGAGCCCAGGGGAGTTCATATTTACTGGGAACTTTCTCGTGCCACACAAATTCATTCTCGTGCTCGTATTTCCTTAAGACAACGCTCAACTCATTCACCACCTGTTTGCGTACCGATCTCCAAGACTCGTCCTTTATCGCCACTTTCTTGTCATTTGAAATTTCCCGCTGAAGAATTCCGATCGCTAAACCAAACTTACCTTCGCTTTTTAGGTTCTCCGCAATGTACTTGTAACTCTTTAACTCGTGTAGACTCTTGCAAGTCATCATGTAATCCTTCATTCGTCGATAATTTCAGCATAATTGAGAAATGAAGTTATCATTAAAAGATGCCTTTCTAAATGAAGTCCAAAAATGAAAATGAAAATGAAAATGCTTTTAGATTTTTTACTCTGCCTTTATATGAGACTAGCTGTGGATTTTCTCGATTTTGCTACTAAAGTGCGAAAATTTTATGCAAACACTCCCTAAAAGGAAAGTGTAGTGTACTCGAAAAGTTGTTAATTTCGTACCATAAGGCGAGACGTAATATCTTTGCAATCTTTGGTTGTGGCTTGCAACAATTCGATAGCTTCGGACAAAAACTCCGTAATGCCATAGTGCAATTTCGCTAAAAGCCTGCCCGAATTCCCATTTTCTTCCGACTTCTTTGTCGTCACAGCCTTAAACAATTAACATAAAGAACCAAAAGAAAGAAAAAAAAAATAAAAGAGTCAGAATGAAGAACAGGAGAACTTGAAGGCACTTGAAGTTTACACAATAGATAAATCATCTCATCATGAAAATTCTAAAAGATAATTTTAGCAAACCTGAGCATCTGCTAAGCAAATGAGGCTCATAATAGAAGATATATTAGGCATAGCTTCCGGAATCCTATCTTCTGTCCGAGTTACCAAAATATGAACTTCTTTTGCTAAATAATCGTAAACTCCGGCTGCCTTTCTGAAGAGCGCGGCCGATTGGACAACATCTAAAACGGCAAACAAAAAAATAAATAAATAAAAGGAAAATAAAATTAGACACCTTTTAGCTCCTTTTTCGAGTTATGTTCATATCTTGCCTGATGATAACACTTCCAAGGCCCGCTCGCGAAGCATTGCACCATAGAGGAACAGCGACATCCCGAGCTCGAAATTGATATCGTTTATTTGATGGAATTTCGGGCCTTTGATGTGAAAGATTGAAGACGAACTAAGCACGCTTGTCCACCGTATTTTGAGGCTCGAAACCCAGCAAACCATCTTTTCATTCTTGAATTTCGCATTAATGTTGTGTACCAGGTTTTCCAACAGAGGCAGATAGTTTGCCAGTTTTTGAATGTCCTGAGAAATAAAATAACTCACACAAAAATATTATATACATTATGCATTTCCTTTTTCACACTCAGTTACTAGTCTTGTTTATTTGGACAGGCAATGCTAACTACAAAAACTTCCCACAGAACTACTTCAGCTTATTTGACCTATTCCCCCTTGACTGGAGATTTTATTGTGAATAAGTTAAACCTTATGGGTGGTTTTTGTAATTAACCAATTCTTCTTGTACCTGTTCGTAACGGGATGTGAGGCCGCCAGACATTTCTCGTGCAATGGCGTTTGTGACATTGCTACTATCATTAATGGAATCCTCGATTGCTTTACGTAATGAGCTTAACTCCTTTAGCTCTTCGAGCGTAGTTGAGTCGCTAGCCAGAAGCACATTTGGATACACAACCTGGAAAACAAAGAACAAAATAACCAAAAATAAAAAAATAAAAATGTGAGATTTTACAATCTAGATAATGAAATAACTTCACATAATTTCAATTCCTCTTGCTCATCAAATAAAAACTGAATCACTTCTCAACATGTATTATGTTGCATATAATCGATTCATTGATGACATAATCTCCATTCTAACTATTGCGGGAAAAATAAAAAATCAAAACAGTTCAATATAAAAATATTCAAATAGATAAATAACAGAAAGTACAAAATGAACTGAAGAAAGTGTTTGATCAATGTAAGAATATAACAATTAACGCAAGTATTTTGCTCAACCTAAGGCTCCAAAACCGATGAACACTAATAATAAATTTTTAAGGAGAAAAAAAAAAAAAAATGAAAAGACGAGAAAACGTACCGTCTTCGTTTTCAATTTTGCAAGACCAGGATAACTTATCATCATCCTCACAAATACAAGACAATGACAATTTACAAAGTCTTTATGTTCAAATCGAAACCTGTTCCTGTTTTTTTCCAAAAATTCAATCTTATATGGGTTTTATTTGGTACGTAGTTGAAAGTCGAAACTAGTGAAATTCAGAAGAAGATTGATTTGAAACCTTCAGGAAATTAAGCCATGTTAATTATTTTTAAACAAATTAAATGTATTCAGAGGGACACTTTCTAAAGGATATCCTTTTTACTATTATTTTAGTGAAGAATATATATAAATCTTTGACATGTTTTATGGAGTATTGGAGTGTAATGTTTACATATTCTGAGTTATCAGGAAAATAGTTTTTTAATGCTACTGCATTTTCCTACTCGGCCAAGAAGTCTATTACAGTTGAGTTTCTGAGTTGACCAACGCCCATTAATGTGCAGGCATATTGACGGCACATTACATGTGAAAAACAAATAATGTCCAATCACTTTTTTTATCCTTTTATTATTATTCTTATTATTATTATTATTATTATTCAATCACTTTTTTTATCCTTTTATTATTATTCTTATTATTATTATTATTATTATTATTATTATTACTATTATTATTATTATTATTATTATTAATCAACGTCCATTAACGTGCAGGAATATTGACGGCACATCTATATATATATAATTACTAGCTAATAGCATTTAAGAAAAATTTATTTAATAAAACCTCTAAAATTTTTCCTCCATTTTCGGTTATAAAATTTATCATTAGTGTTTTTTACTTCTCACATTAATACATCTTATTGACTGTAATCATGTATTTTTCTATTATATTATATAATAATTAATGCTAATAACAACTAATTATAATTCACAATAAATATAAATTGCATAATTATAAACAATTGTTTCAAGTTATTTATTTTAACATCAATATTATCTTTTTCTTTTGTATCTCATGAAATTTATTTTTTAAAAACAATTATTAAATTATTTTTAAAAACAATTAGCATAGTCAAACAACTTTAAAATTTTATAAAAAATTGTTTTGTAATAATAATAATAATAATCAAACTGATATTATCTAATGATAATAAACAATTGTTCATAATAATAAACAATCATTAATTTATTTTTCTTAATGATTAAATTTTAAAAATGTAATATGTTCATTATCAAAAATTTTAATATTAAATTCTCAAATATTAGTTATAATATTTTATGTACATCTGTGCATGTGCACAGGATATTTACTAGTTACATGCGAAAAACAAATAATGTCCAATCACTTTTTTTTATCCTTTTATTATTATTATTATTATTATTATTATTATTATTATTATTATTATTATCCCTCCCTATATATTAATTGAGAACGTCTTGAGCCTATGTGGCAGGCTTGCATGCTTCGGAATCCTATGTGGCAAAAATACATGCTTCGTTATTAGGCTTGGGTACATTTAGTTTACTTCTAATCCAAATATATTTAGGTTCGGATTATTTATAATATGTTGATTATTTATGGTAAGGGTGGGCGCCGGCCGGGACAGTCTTGGATTTGACTTGTCCGGATACCCATCCCACTTTTATGAATCCGTCGCCACCGTCGCCACCCATGTAATACATGGGTGTTGTACTAATTATTATTTCTGAAAGAGAAGTGATCAACTGGATACATACATCGTCAACACATTCGACACGGCCTATGAGCTCAAAACTCACCTACGCATAAATATATAATATTTTTATTATTTATAAATTTAATTTTGAGCAGAAAAGACACTTTAGCATCCCCGATTCCGAAAACCTTTTCCTCTTTCTCAGATTTGCCAGAAAAAAATGGGCCTCTCCGTTCTTCAGGTAATACGCCGGGATCTCTTCTGTTGTGCATTTGATTTCCTGTTAATCGATCCTTAGTTTGTGTGTTTCGTGAATGGGACAGGGTTTTACTAAGTCGTTGGCGATGACGGTGCTATCTGAGATTGGGGACAAGACCTTTTTCGCAGCTGCCGTAAGTTTATTCGCGTCAGTGTGTGTGTTTCAGGATAAGTCTATATATTTTTCGTTTATTTGTTGTTAATTGACGTGTTTCTGTTTTAGTAGCCAATTTATTTGTGTTGTTTTGCTTGAATTGTGATCTGGAGTGATTCCAATAACAGTAGATGTTAAGTTTTAGTTACGGTAGATCATTGTTTGCCAATGCTAGTATTAGATGATAATGCTCGTTATTCAAGATGAAAGTTGAGTGTGTGCTTTGAGTGAAATTTGCTGCCTTAGGAACTTCATTCTTGGTCTCAAAAGGATTTGATTTGTACTTGTTTGCTTGCATGTCAAAAGATGAATTGTTAATATGGAATTTAGAGATTTCTTTTGTTCTTGTCGGAATCTTAGAGAAGTGTTCAATAGTCAGCTATGATACTTAAATACTTTCAAATCCTGATAATTGATGATTTACTATTCAGAGTAGCTGTTTTACTTCTTACTGCAGCTTGAATTAATTGATTTCTTCATTTACCCTCTATGACTTTTCGCCTCTTTGTTATACCCTCTAATAGTATTTATTATTTTAATGGGCTCCTTGATTTATTGATTGAAGATGCTACGTGTTTTACCTGTATGTCGGGCTGTTGTTTGTACCTTTGATAATTGGTCATGCTCCGAGAATACAGGAGCTTGGTAATTCACATTCAGAAATGGAATCTGAAACTATATGGGATGGGTATCATTTATTGCTTTATTTTTCAAAACCTTTAAGATAACAGTCTTACAATGAACTTTTAGTGGAGAATAAATTCCTCTTCTGTCTCTGTCTGTCTGTTTCAACTTTGCGTTGTAAAAAAATTGCATTAGGAAATCCACATGTGTCGATACATTTCAGAATATTTGAAAAGTTTGTCGTACATATATAAGAGGTGCCCTTTATATCATGACACTTGTTAAAGAAACCAGTACAATATTCCAAGAGATCTGTAGATACGTTTTGTCATTTTCAATGTCAAGCTGTTTTCTTTTTTCTTCAATTTTTTTTTTATTTTTTATTTTTTATTTTTTCATTATCTGAAAAAGGTCATTGTATCGACCAGCTTGAAGTGGATTTATACCAAAAACATATGTATATGAGGTAAAAGTACAACTATGACTGCCTTTTATTAATCAGCATATTCGCTTTTAGGACAAGCTTAATGTTTTCCATATGCTTCATCAACATGATCACTTATCTCAATGTTTTTTCCCCAATCAAGTTTTGAATGATTGATTTACTTTGGTGTCAACTTGCACGATATCATGTTTCTTTCTATTTTACATGCTGTTCCTAGAAAGCTGATTTGGACTAGTGTTTCTGTTTTCTTCACCTTTCCAACTCAAGAACAGCAAAAAATAAGTAGTATCCTTTGGACAGTTTAAAAGTGTTGATAAAAAAGAGAACAGTTAAATATGTTGAACACAATGACAAACTATGTTTCGTTTTTTGATTGTTTCAGATATTGGCAATGCGTCATTCCAGAAGGCATGTATTATCAGGTTGCCTTGGAGCTTTGATAGTAAGATAACAATCTTTGTCGCATTAATAGTTTACACTTTTGTGTTGTTCCTATATTAAGCCTTTAAATGGCTGCAAATACCTTTTAATTTTAGGTCATGACCATATTGTCAGCTGTTGTGGGCTGGGCTGCTCCGAATCTGGTGAGTAAATGATAGTTTCTGCTATGACTTTCGTGAGGGATTATTACCACTGGAAATAAACTATGCCGAATTTGATTCTGAATTTGCAACCACGCTCTTTATAGTTTGTCTCAACTCAACCTTTGCCATTGTTTTCATTTTGGCTTACAGACTTGTTGGATTTTTTTGCTATTTCCTATTACTATAACTTTTTAGGCTTATTTTTTGAAATTAATTTTTATGCGGGCAGATCTCTCGGAAGTTGACTCATCATGTCACGACATTTTTGTTTCTGGGATTTGGCCTGTGGTCTCTATGGGATGCATTTAATGATGGGTACACTTCGGTTTACAGAAAACTCATCTTTAAACCTCCTACTTGTATTAAGTGTGTTTGAATATTCCTCATTCCACTGGCAGGGAGGGTGAAGAATTTGCTGAAGTTGAAAAGGAACTGGTTAGCGTCTTTTGTCTTTTTGCTACTTATCTTAATAGAGTTAGAATTTTAATGATTATACTGTCCTATGTGGCTAGAATGCGGATACAAAATCGAACGGTGGGAAAACCCAAGAAAATAGTAAGGTAAGGCATACTGTATATTTTTATATTTTTCAGTAACTGATGCCATGATTTCCTACGGAATGATTGATCTTTGCAATTTATGGTGTCTAGCAAGCAAACATTTATTTGTGCAGTAAACCACTTTTTTATGTTATGCTGGTCCAGGATGAAGATGAACTGAAAAAGCAGAGGCGACCTTTTCTTACCCAATTTTTTTCTCCAATCTTTCTGAAGGTTCTTAGCTCATTTTCTTCTATCAAGAAATTACTGCAATACTGTCTCTCTCAGTTTAAAAAATAAATAAAAAGAAAACTACTGCTTGATTATTTACTGTTAGTCAATATTTTTTCCATTTCTTCAGGCATTTTCCATTACTTTCTTTGGTGAATGGGGTGATAAGAGTCAGGTAAACATGTATTTCGGGCATTCCAAATTTTCAGTTACTTTGACATTGGGTTTTTTCTTTTGCATATGACAACTGGTAAGTTCAATTTTGCAGCTTGCTACAATAGGTTTAGCTGCGGATGAGAATCCTTTGGGTGTTGTCCTTGGTGGAATCCTGTAAGTCCATGCTACTGATTTTACTCAGAACAATAATTCCTTATTTAGTGGATTTTATTTCGTCCCATCTTTTAATACGTTTTCCATTACGGTATGGTCTATTACGATGGAAGTATCGTTTCAGATTTTCTTTGTATGCAATCTTTTTCTTGGTTATTAGAAATTTCTGACATATTATTAATTCATGTTTGACTTGTTACCCATAATATCAGGGGACAAGCTTTGTGTACAACAGCTGCTGTCGTGGGAGGAAAGAGCCTTGCAACTCAAATATCAGAAAAAATAGTGCGCTTTTAGACTTTTACTGTAATCATTTTTCAGCAAGAAATAAAAAGAAACAGAGAAAATAATCTTGTTGATGTTAACATAAATATATTTATATGGATGCAGGTTGCAATCTCTGGTGGATTACTTTTCATTGTTTTTGGGATTCAGTCCTTTCTTTCAAAAGTCGAGTCTTGATGACTCAAATTGACTAAGGCCCCGAGGGTCAGCACAAACTATTTTTTCTGTACAATGTCCTCCATTCAAATGTAAGATGGAGAATATATATTACCTGCTGAAGGTACTATCGACAAACTTCTCTGGCAGCTTTCACTCTTGAGCAGAAAATGAATGACTTTATGGATCCTAGAGAATACACATCTTGGTTTGCGAGTCGTCCTAAGTCAGCTAGGTGGCAAAACAATCATGATAAAATTATACTCGTGAGTCGTGGATGTAAAAGTATGTGATCATGGTCATTTTTTTTTTTACGCAGGTAAGAAGCTGGTTATTACGTCTTACAACAATTTCTATGTCAATTTCTCATTAATCTCTCTAGACTATTCTCAGTTCCATTCATATTCTATTTTGCATATCAATCATACAACGTGATGCGACTTGCACAAGTTGATAGCAGTATAAATATGGTTCATAAAACATTAGATGACAAAGAGAATGGACTCTGCGCAATGGACTCTGCGCCTCGGGATTGGATATTATTCATACTGTTGCACCAAAATGACCCAAGATCAATTTATTTGAAAGACAGCATAAAAGGATTTTACAACTTGGGTTATTCTTGTCCCTTACAAAACTTGGATCTAGAACTTGAATCTACTTGAATCTGAAGCGTAAAGTCAATCAGTCCACATAAAAGAAGTTGGTTAGCGCAAATGACATATACCTGCCAAACTCATTTTTCACCAACCAACTTATATGCTCTCAACGGAATTTAGGACATGTTTGTATTATCAACACATGGTGCAATGCTAATTTTTACAGCAGATAGATGTATCAAACACATCCTACTCTTTTCTAGTATAAAAAGTACAACACGCGAGATAGTACAAGTGTGACACAAATCTAAATTAGTACAACACATGACATAGAATAAGTCTAAATTAGAGTTTAACCAACCAAGCAACATGGATAAGTTTGTGATAAAATTATAAAGAATATGGAACAAAAGTAGTATGAACCAAATAAGGTAGACCCAAGAGCAAGAAATAGATAGATAGTATATGATGATCAATTGATGAAATTCCCTCCAGACGACACCTGTCCTCCTTGTCCCAACAATTGAGGTCGTCCGGCAGCTTGCATGTAAGACTGAGGATTCATCTGAGGAGGGATCTGCTGTTGCTGTTGCATCTGAGGAATCTGCTGAGATGGTTGTTGCATAAGGGAGTGTTGTTGTTGTTGAGCCATTTGTTGTGGTTGTTGTTGTTGAGCCATTTGTTGTTGTTGTTGTTGCTGCTGCTGTAGGTGTTGTAGGTGTTGCTGCTGTTGTGCTTGCATTTGTTGACTCGGTATTTGGGGCTTGAAAACCACCATATCCTTGCAAAACACCACCAACACTTTTCACTCATCCAAATTTAACTAACATCCAATCGCAAAACTCAAAAATATGGGGAGAGAATTCACGCAAACGCATACCCAAATATGTGTTTGATCGCAAATTTCGCGTCTCTTGTTTCCTAGTTGCAATTTAACCTCTCTTTATTATTTTTAATTACAATTTCACCCTCTAGTGACTGCCTTTCTCGGTAGTGCCTAGTCCAACTTGGAGGCGCCCCTACATCCCTCAGATTTCGTGAAATGGGTTTTTTTAGGGTAAATTTCGATATAATCAAGTCAAGCTTCAGAGTGCTACTGTCTAGTCTGATTTTTACAACACTATAACAAACTATTTAGGTTTTAGCCTAATTACAGAAACATTAGTCATCTTCAAACAGAATACTCATCTAACAAAAACCCTCTTTTGACTGTGAACTCGAAATTAATAAGTAATCATAATTTCGAAAGATAAATAGGTCCATTTGACATTAGGCATAATAAATCTTGGGGGTGGTTTCAAAATTAGACAGTGTACTTGATGAGCATGCAATTGTGAGTTTGAAATGTTACAAAATGTAATCTAAGTTACAACAACAACAACAACATACCCAGTATATTCCCAATCAGTGAGTTTAGAAAGACTAAAATGATAAAGCTTATAGTGCCTTACCCCAGGAAACAGCATCCCAATCAGACGGTAAGCTTTGTCGGAAACCGAAAGTAGCAATGTCTGTGATGGTAACTGTATTACTGCACACTGAGAAACACATGCAATTCAGAATATGAGAATCACGTTCAAAATGATCAGAAACCAATAAGTTTGCATGAAATGATTCTAAACCCAATTTCAACAGAACACAAAAAGGATCTAGGTTAATTTTGAATTTAACGACTTACAAGCTTTTTTTCTTGCAGCTGCCCAAGAAAGCCATGCTGATCCATGGCACGGAAAACTAGGAAATCAGCCTTCCCAACATATTGCCTGGCATAGTTTACAGAGAACTCTAAGTTATACATATTGTTCTTAACTAAAAAATAAGCAGATCTTATATTGAATGCATGCGATGAACTCATTGAAGAATTTAATCTTAGATCATCTTACTTGTTATTCATGTGGTCCTGGGATATCAGGCGGACTATCTGCATTGTTGGGGGCCAATTTGCAGCAAGCCTGAAAGAATCCGGGAAAAATTTGTGAAAAAGCTACAATAGTTAATCAGGTTATGCTATGTTCTCTGAAGTCAGAAAAACTAAAACATGCTAAAGAATATGCAAAACACAAAGGCACAAAGTAGAGTATCGGAAGTAGTCTTACGTCTCAGAAGCTGTTGCACTTCTGTATCCCTGGCACCAGAAATATAAAATGCTTAAAATAATTTTCTAGGAATTGAAATCCTTTTAGTGCATGAGAAAGCTACCTCCAGTCTGGTAATAAAAACAGGTTGACCTTGTCGCTGTCCAGATAAATTTCCCTGTATCAAGTCACATGAGCTTTAGTGTTGGCTTATACACACATTCACTATATTTAATTAGTTTCAGTAGAAAATTTTGGTGCTTATCATCTTTGTTCTATAAGAAAAAGGAAAAAAAAAATCCAAATCATCTTACAAGGTGAGATATTCACAGAAAACATGATCATGTAAACAAATAATACTTACAAAAAAACTGAAATCCCCCACACCAAGCATTACTAAGTTGGATATTTAACAGGCGAAATGAAACAGCAGAATTAAATGTTAACAGCCTCTCCAATTATCTTCCAAAGTTAGAACTTTCCATATGTCCAACAGATACCCCTTCAGCGTAGATTTTATAAAACAAAAGTAAATGCCAAGGGCGTGTGCGTAAATTAGTAAGCCAAAGTGTCTTGGACTAACTAAACAGGGCAGTTTTTGTAATTAACCCAATAGGCAACAATAACTCTGTAATTAACCAAATAGACAGCCACAATTACCTCCCAAACTCTGACATATTTAGATTGAGCCGAAGGCATAGCACCCGATGTCTGCTGGTTCAAGGGCATATTCGTCACAGAACTACTGCTATTCACACTCGCAGGCTGCATTCCTTGTTGTATTTGCTGGGACATTCCCTGACCAGGCATCATTATACCACTCCCACTCGTCATGTTCTGATTATTCACACTCTGCCCCGTCTGCACCATCTGTGGGACCGTCAAATTACCTTGGCTCATGTTCAGACCCATTTGGCCGCCCACTTGTAAATTATTCAAAGGCTGCGAGACCCCAATGCTAGAACTTGTGGGGCCCGTTGTGGGTACAGGTAAGGGCCCGGAAACTGATGTGAGGCCCGAAGAAACTGAAGAAATTACGGTTTGTGCAGTTGGAGGTGGCACAGAGGATATCACGTTGGAGAGCATGGGTGCTCCGTTCATGGAAGGAATCCCAATGGAAGTTCCTCCGACAGCTAGACGAGCCTGCGCCACGTCATTCAAGATTCTTACGTTTGCTGGTGCATTGCCAGGTGGACGCACGAGCGATTTTGTATCTTGGGAGTTTTCGTTGTTCGAGGTCGCCTCTTGAGATGTTGATAACGGTGGAGAGGTTTGTAAAGGTAATATGGGTTGAGAAGAAGGTCGAGGAACCGATGGAATCTGAGGAAATCCGGGCCCGGTTGAAGGGGCCACAGTAGTTGGTTCCTGAATGAATTTAGAAGATTAAAAAAATAATGGCATGAATAGGAAAATATGGTGCAATTCTGCAACTTCCCCATATACAAAGGCAAAAATTGCACTTTCGGTCTCACAAGATTGAGATTTTGGTGCTTTTGGTTTTCATAATTCAACTTTGGTACCGTTGGAAGATTTGTGGGCGTAACAACACAAGAAATGATTTTATATATAACTAATATTTCAAACCATGGGATTAAGTGCTGCAGACTCAATCATGTGGGAGGAAAAGTGAGATGTATCCAAAAACTAACAAAGTTGAATCTTACCACTTTTACAGTTGTAGGCGGAATGTTCTTTCCAACAGGTATTGGTTGCCGACCTAAGGCGGAGCCATTTGCTGAAGGAAACAAAGAAACAGCGTCACGTGCTAAAAGAGAATCTTATTAACAACCTTATTATCTGCTCGTCGCTTTCAATGCACATGAAGAAGTTTTGAATATCATCTATCAAGCAATTGTAAATGCCCATTCTCTATGCCAGTACCCACTCAAACAATAATATATATCTTAGAAAGAAAAAGTATGTAGATTGACAACAATTGCAGCAACAAGTAGAAAATAATAGACAGATAAATTATTTCCCATTCCAACAGAAACTAACTCATGCTCCTCTGGCACATTCCGAATATAGGATTTCGAGGGGAAAAAATGAGTACAAAACTAAGTTCAATATAAGAAAATTCACCTGAAGGTGGCCCAGAAATAGCAGGGGCAGGTGTCATGTCCATCTTGACAGGGTTTTGATTTGGGGGCAAATTTGTCATTCCCGACCTACCTAATGCAGCACGGGCTTCCATAAAATTCTCCGAGATAAGGACAAGGAAATGAGGATTCTTGGCACTATCTACAGGAAGATCTGCACCTCGGGGATGGCGCTTCCCCTGATTAGCATGGTGACTAATTTATCAGTAAAGTTCAAAGCAAATTCAGGATGAAAACAAAAAATCGTGCAATCAAATAACCGTGAGGGGGATAATTTCCATTTGGTCCAGATATTATTTGCTTCAACACCAATAGAGGAAATTTCTTGGCAAATTATTCTTTTCCTAACATGCTTATTTGAAAAACAGGAATTTTGGACTGGAATACCCCTTAATTGTCACCTGATTATACTAATTCTCACTTGGTGATTTGATTCCACCTGACAATGTCAGGGGAATTATGATGTTTATCCTTATATAGGATTGAGTGGCAATGAAAATACTAGGGTAGAGTCTTACAATTGCTATATATATATAAATCTCACCATCAATTCAAGTTAATTACAGAGGAAGTAATTATGCATGGACAACATTAGAAAAGATTTACGATCAAAAAGCTCTTTTTTAGATAAGTAAAGAATGGTACCGCC